GATTTCTAAATTTCTGCATTTTCGTCGCGGACTTGGAGCTGTTCCCTGAAGATATTTGGAATTAAATTTCGAGACAGTAGAGTCCATGACACGACTGAGTCGCGAACTGGATTTTTTCTCCTTGAGGGAGCAAGTGCGCGACGCGCAGCTATTCCCTCCAAGTGCAATCTGCAAGCTGCCTTGGCAGCTTGCTTGATCTAAAGTTGGGGTCCTCCTCGGAACCCCTTAGGGCGGCCTCGGGGAGTCTTATTCGAACGTTTTGACCCTAGGAACATATATTTACCAATTTTAAACCTTTTCACCAGATTATACCATCATACGACACTCCCAAACCTGCCCAAAGCCTAAGGACACACTAGAACACATTCTTCTCTAGTTTCCGGACATCGTGGTCGTTTCTTGATGTTTAGACTTTTACTCTTCCAAACCAAGTCAACTACATTAGTTTTGGTTCATAAACATCATTTTAACTATTTTTAAGTCATTATTCATAAGGTGAGGCTCTAACTTAAGTCATAGAATTTCCGGGGTGTTACAAAATTGAAGAAGAAATCAGTTGAAAACCCATCCTCTAGCTTGAGCTTCATCAAGGTCTTCAATGGAGTTTTTGAAAGAATCTATTTTGAGAGGGAAGGGTCAATTTGGAGAATGGGGTCTAATTTTAGGTTTTGGGATTTTAACCAACTTAAAATACCCTAAAATAGGTAGAATAACCGTTTATAATAATTCCCCAAAGTACCTAAACTACCCCTCACTTAGTTGGACCTTTTAAACAAGTCAAACTTGAGTTTTATTTTCGCAGATTTCATCGGGAAACAAGTTCGCGACGAGGAGGTGTTCCCACAAGTTTTCTAGAAATTAAATTCGAGACAGTAGAGTCCGCGACATGTCCGCGACGCAGACTAAACTTTTGGCCCTTGGTGGAGCTAGTCTGCGACGCGGACATGCTCCCTCCAAGCACAACTTCAAGCTGCCTTGGCAGCTTGCTTGGCCAAGGTTGGGGTCCTCCTCGGGGACAGTTAGGGTGGCCCCCGGGGCATCGTATCCAAACGTTTTTACCCTAAAAACATTTATTAAGACACTAGGGTCACCTCCACTGATTTTAGACTCCAAACAATACATAAAAACATGAACAACATACTAGAACACACCAACACGTAAAAGACTAGTTTCCGAACATCTTGGTCGTCCCTTGACGTCTGACTTCCAAACTCTTTAAAACTGACTTAAAAGGCTATTCTTCATTATTTTAACAAGTTATTAATGCATAAAACCCATGTGAAGCTCTACTTTATCCTACTTTATTTTGAGGGTCGTTACAATCACATAGTTGACAAATGCTGAGCAAGTTGTTTTTAAGTCCTTCTACAAGGTACACTTCTGATAGGTCACGGGATTATCTGAGAAAGACTGATCCGACTCCTACTACTTATCCTTTTGCATTGTCTTTGAACCATAAATACCATCCATCAATATTCTTGAGAGTTTTGAAGTTTTCTTTCTTTTTGCACATGTGTCTTGAGCATCCACTATCTATTATCCACATTTTCTTTTTGTATGTTTTCTTTTGGTTTGGGCCTGCAATATAATAAGATTAATTTCTTTTAGGTACCCAAGTATTTTTGGGTCCTTATGATTAGAGTTAGCAACTTTTGGTCTTCAAATCCACTTTCCAGAAGAATATTTCTTACCGTTAAAAGATTTGTAACCAATGCCACCACAAGTATAACAAGTAATTTTAAAAGAAGTTTCTACATAATGATATAAGGAATTATGAGATATATTAGTGAAAGATCTATTGGATATAATGGAGCAATGACTAGGGGATTTTTCGATGTTACTCAAATTATATATGTTGGTTCTAATGGGGCTATGACTTGGAGATTTCCTCATGCTATTTCATTGCATCTTTACTTCCTCCGGTTCCTCTTCTAGTAAGTCGACTGCAATCTGACTTGCTTCTAGAAGGATTTACTAATCCTTCTTTTCTTGAGCAATTTTATTGTATGCATCGATTACTTTCTGAAGTTCATCAGTAACCATATCCTAGGAGTTTTATAAGTCATTTCAATTTCCACAGTTAAAAGGTCTTACCTCACTTGTTTCTCCTAGTGCCATGAAACATATGTTGGTGGTTTCATCATGATCATCTTCAGATGTTTCTCCTTGACTCCAAGCTCCGAGACTTTTTGGATCTTCATTTCTCTGACTATTTCTTCTTTTTCATTCTGGAAAGTTTTTCTTGATATGTCCTGGTTTTCCACAGTAATAGCATCGGTCATCATTTATTTGGTGTTCGTTATTCTTATAATCATGTTTGGGCATTTGCCTTAGCATCGGTCATCATTCATTTGGTATTCGTTATTCTAATAATCCTATTGGGGCATCTGCCTTCTTTGTTTGAGCATTTGTCTAACTCCTCTGTTTATGAGGGTCATTCCTTCACTTTGATTATCATTGATTTCTTCCTCGACTTCAGTTGTCCCAACGGTAAAGGCGACCAGTTTTTTTATCATCTTTGTTGTATCTGTTAATATGATTTTGTTCATAGGCCATCAGATTTCCACGAAGTTCATCGTAGGCCATTTGTTGTAGACTCCATCTACAAAAATATCACATTTAGTTTCCCAAGACATGGGAAGACTTCTGATGAGTTTTCTAACTTGTAATCCGTTAGAGTACACCATCCCTAGATATTTGTCTTCCCAAACAATTTCGCTAAATCTTGAGAACATATCCTCTACATTTTCGTTGTCCGCCATTTTGAATAATTCATATTCATTTACTTGTGAACTTATTTGAGCTTCCGTTACTTTGCTAGTTCCATCATAGGTTACCTCGAGTTTGTCCCACATTTCCTTCACAGTTTTTCATGTTGAAATCTTGTCGTAATCTTCTCCGTTATTGCACAGTATAACAAACTTATAGCTCTAGCATTGTTTCAATTACCTCTTGTTTTTCCTTTGTAATATCAAAGGATTCAGGATCAAATGGTTTATCAGTAGAATCTTTTCCTCTGAGTCCGGGAATAGGCTTTGGACCCTTTTTTTATAACAATTCGTGCTTGAAGATTATTTGAGGAAATGAAGATTTTGAATCTATCTTTCCAGTGGGAGTAGTGTTGTCCATTAAAGTAAGGAGTTCGATTAGAAGAGTGTCCATCTTAAAGAAGAGTGCCATGAATTTGATATTTTGCCATAGATCTTTGCTCACGTGTTGTTAAGAACATTATATGTGAGACCTGGTCTGATACTAATTGAAAGTCAAGAAGGGGGTGAATTAAATATCCTTTAGTTGACTTCCTATATTAGTCAGTCGACTCACCTGCAAGTTAGTAACACAGTATAGAGTAATAGTAAATATAGTAAGTAAAAGACTCAAAGAGTTTTATACTGGTTCGGAACACTGGTGTTGTGCCTACTCCCAGTCCCCTTCAATTTCAAGAGTTTCCTTAAGAGCTTATTGAGAACTTGGGTAGTACAAAGTATTTCGCCTGTAAACCATGTCTGATGTGTAAATCAAAACTTGTACTTTGACACAACCTCTACTTGTATAACCTACATTCAGATCTTTCTTTCTCTTTTCTTTTTCAATTATATGCTAACGAGAATACAAAGCTTTTATGAAAAATAATATAAGACAATAGTACAAGTTCAAGTGAAGTGCGTGCTTCACAACTGCAACTATGAGTAGGTTTATATAGTATTGAGGACTGCTCTTTAAAGGAATAACCCAAGGGTGTTTCAAATCAAGGTTCTTGATTGATTCCTTAAATTTGGTTGATTGATTCATGTCCATATCAGATATGTGCATGAGCAACCCGATTCCTTCTTTTTCTTGTAGATCTTCTCAAGATCTTGATAACCTTCCTTCTCATGAAGATCTTCTTGTAATCTTGATACTTGGTTGATTTTGGTTATTGTCTATCTTCCAGATTTAATTCATCCTAGTCAAACACTAGGATTGTGATTTCCTTGATTCTATATCACTAGAATGATTGCTTTCCTTTCCTGTGTTGCTTCAGTGAGTGCAACTTGTTCCCTTTCACTTTTTAATGCTTCTTTGGCATTCTTCCTTTTTATTCTCATGCCTACAATATATATCATATATTGGTTAGGTATTTCATTATCAAAATAACTTAGTCTTATGATGCTATCACTTAGTCCTCTCATGAAAAACTGGATTGACTACTAACTACATTGTTGATTTACTGTCACTGAAGATAGTAATAGGCTGCTTGATAGACACTTCTAGCTCATAAAAACAAGCCTCGGATCCAGGTAATTTCTAAAACTATTGAAGTCATGCTTCTGTACTAAGCTTCAGCTGAGCTCCTAGAGATAGTCTGTTGTATCTTGGATTTTCAAGACACTAAAGATTCTCCAAGCTTAACTACATACCTATGATGGATCTTCTTGTGTTGGGACAAGCAGCCCAATCAGAATCACACCAACAAGTGAGCATATTTGTAGGTTTAGATTGCAATCAGATACCCTGATCAACTATACCTCTCAAGTATCTAACCACTCTAGAAGCAACTTCCAAGTTTGACTTCTTAGGAGATTGCATGAATTAGCTAAGTGTTTATACTGCATAACTAATCTGGTCCAGTAATAATGGCATATAACGGTTTGCCGATCAATCTTTGGTATGAAGTAATGTCATGAAGCACATCATCTGCAGTACATCCAGCTCCTAAATTATGCTCCACTGAGGTTAATCTTAGGTTGGACTCAAGAGGAATGGGTGCAGGTGTCACGACCCGAGAGCACCCCCTAGTCGTAACCGGCGTACTCGACCTCGAAGAGGTCTAATACAAGCCTCTTAGCATTCATTCATCGCATAGACACTAAAAACCATAAGGAATTAAAAACTTTCTTTACAAAGAAGACATTTAATTAAAAATAGCAAGCGGAAGACTTTCTAGACTTTATACATGATGTCTCAAAACCATCTAATACTTTAGAGTACAAAATTCGGGACTAATCCCGTACACAACTTAAACAATACTAAAA